GGTATGCATATTGGATTCGAAATTTGCATTTAAACATAACTGTGTGTGCAGTAGTAGTATGATGACCCACCTCTTTCGAGTGGCAATTCCGGAGGGCCTCTGATATTCTACATAACATGCCGGACTTTGTGCATTAACTATAATTTATACATATCACTGTGAGATAACCCAAATTACGAGACATAAATATCTACTATCTGAAATATTTACGCAATTGTTGGTATTACTGACAATTTTACCACCACGCCATCTCGTGACAATTGCCCGAACTAATCATAATTTCTATATATTTGTATATATAATTTATATTTAGTTTTTATAATTTTTTTTACAATTTTTAACAATTTAACACAAGGAAAAAGTCTCACTGGAAAGGTCATAGTTTTACCTTTAATTTCCATTTTAATTGATACAATTATCTTAAGTAAATATGCAATAAAATTAAATTTCCAAAAAAATTGTAAAGTAGCGAAAAATCTAATTATATATATATTTTATGAAATATTCATGTGAATAAAAAAATAAATTTTGATTTATAAATGTGTAATTTTACGGATGTGTGAATGTGAAGCAGTCTAAATTATTAATGTATGGAATTGCAACTGTGCGAAAGAGGAAAAGAGAGAGATATATAGAAAAAAAGTTGGGGTTGAAGGGTTGCAAAGGGTCTCAATAAATTAGACCATCCCCAATATCTTTTATTTATCTGCGTCGACGTTATTAATGTAAAACTGCCGGACACGCTATAACGCGCGCCCTCCCGAAGTCTCCCATCTTTTATTTATCCTTTATCTCTCAAAAGCCCCCGAATTAAACGGCACTAGGACACTCTTGAACTGCCGATAAAATCTTCTCGTTATTTTCCTCTACTCTCTGCTTTCTTTTATTTTCCTCATCGTTGTTTCTATTCATTGCTTAATCAATTTCATAACTTTTCCTTTAAATTAATTATATTTTATTATCGAAAAACTTGATTAGAATTGATCAATCACTAAGTTTTTTATTAGAATTTTTCAAAACTTTGTAATTTCTTCAAGAATTATTTTCTATTTTAGCAGAAATATCATAAAAATAGAATAACTTTACGTGAATTTAACTTTAACTTAGTTATGTCATCTATACTTCATTTTAATCAATTTATTTGTATTTCGTATCACTATTGCAAGAAATTATACTATTATATAATATTATATAACTGTATTCAAGTTTTGTGAATTTAAATTATTTTGTAGAAAAACATAAAATATAGAAATTGATAAAATTAATCATTGGTTTATAAACTAGAATTTGATTCCTATAAGAGAAAAAAATCTTATAAATTTAGTTACGCCATCTATACTTCATTTGCGAACTATTTTATTTAATTTTAGTTTTATTCAATTTATTTATATTTTGTATCACTATTGTAAGAAATAATACTATTATATAATATTAAATAACTGTATTAAAGTTTTGTGAATTTAAATTATTTTGTAGAAAAACATAAAATACACAAATTGATGAAATTAATCTTTAGTTTATAAAATAGAATTGGATTCTTATAAGAGCTAAAAATCTTATAAATTTAGTTACGCCATCTATACTTCATTTGCGAACTATTTTATCTAATTTCAATTTTATTCAATTTATTTATATTTCGTATCACTATTGCAAGAAATATTGCTATTATATAATATTAAAAAACTGTATTAACGTTCAATTTCAATTATTTTGTAAAAATAAAACATAAAATGCACTAATTGATAAAATTAATAATTGGTTTATAAACTAGAATTTGATTCCTATAAGATCTAAAAATCTTATAAATTTAGTTACGCCATCTATATTTTATTTAATTTTAGTTTTATTCAATTTATTTGTATTTCGTATCACTATTGCAAGAAATAATACTATTATATAATATTAATTAACTGTATTAAAGTTTTGTGAATTTAAATTATTTTGTAGAAAAACATAAAATACAGAAATTGATAAAATTAATCTTTGGTTTATAAACTGGAATTTGATTCCTATAAGAGATAAAAATCTTATAAATTTAGTTACGGCATCTATACTTCATTTGCGAACTATTTTATCTTTTAAATTTAGTTACGCCATCTATATTTGATAATTGTGAACTATTTCAAATAATTTATTAAAATTAAGACTAGATCATTTCTAATAGTGTAAAAAGAAGTTTCATTTTCTAATTTGGAAATTAATTTTGTTTTACAATTAATCAATAATATGTGTTAATGTTAATTAATGAGAATATATGTAAATGTCTACTATTGAATCGAAGCAGTGTACTCTCATAGGATGAGTTGGAAATTACACTCGGAGGAGATTCGAGAACAAGGGTCCACGAATTATGAAACATTGCCTTTCCTCGATGTTAATAAGATTACGTGGGCTATTGTGCAATAATTTCAAGATTTAGTAACATACAGAGAGAGAGAGAGAGGTAGAAGATGAATTTCGATTGCGGAGGCAAACGGCGATAGGACACGAACACAATGCCAATGGATAGCCCGGAACGTCGGGGTACGTGTGTTTGGGAATTATATCGGAAATGCCTATGTCAATTGCCGCCAACTAAAGCCCTTCATCCCGCACAATGCTTGCCCTGTATAAGGGAACCGCTCGTTATTTGCCAAAGACGATTAGTAAATATTTAATGCTCCAAGAGAGAACATATCCTACTTCATCCACGCAAAGCTCCAAAACCGGATCAAAGGGTGGCATTCCTCCAAAAATAAATAGATTTTGAAAATCAGATTCCTCAACAATGGTTTCGTGTAATTATGAATGAAAGCTCTTGCTGTGTATTGAAAGGGTTAACTCTGTTTTTTTTTTGTTGTATGTTTCTATCATAAACTTGATTGAATGCTTTATTATTTTACACTGGGCTGCGCCTTCGGATCTGCATTAATGATGTTCGAATCCCATGTCATATTGACGAGGGGGTTGTTTTTGTGCTTTACACGCACATACAGCACAGCGTTCGGCTCTTGACGAGGGATTTTCTGAAGGCTCGAGTCGAGGGGTGGTTCGTATAATTTAGTACGGTCATTTTTGGTCCAGAAGATTATTATTATTTACATCATCATGCGTTAACTGCGGTTTATATATACGTATATGTAGTATGTTAGTGACGCACATTAATATTCATAACTAGGATAATACTACTTCCAGATTATATGAAAGCCCTTTTAAATAATATACGAGCTTTTATCCTAATTAATCATTAATGTTTGCTTTGTAAATTCGTTCGTTTGTAAAGAGAGAAAAAAATGAAAATTTTAAAATTAATCATTTGGAAATTCTCAAAATGTTGTTTTGTCTCGGGATAAAAAGTCTTTCAGTTATATTGCTGTTATTAAATGCAATATTTTTAATTAATTTTATTGTAAATATCAGTGTTTTTATTGAGAAGTCAACTATACAAGTGTTGATCTCATAAATTATTAACTAAGAATTACATTCTTCTCCTAAGTCAGCGTTTTCCAAACTGTGAGGTGGACTAGTCTAAGGGGAAGCGCGAATATTAGTAGCAGTGAGCAATTTTCCAAATATCTGCTAAAGTATAGATACATTTCTGTGCTCTTATCCATATTGCTGTAGTACGCGTTCAAACTTGAAAAATTGAAATGAGAACGTTCAAAAAAGCTGTGTTTTCACATTTCATTGATTTACTTGAAAACTATAATAGATAGAATGAATCAGATAGATGCATATGAAAGCTGAATGTTTGGAGAATCCAGCAAGTATAGATAAATTCCTGTGCTCTTATCCATATTGCTGTAATACGTTTAAAGTTGAAAAATTGAAATTAGAACGTTCGAAAAAGCAGTGTTTTTACATTTCATTGATTTACTCGAAAACTATAATAGATAGAATGTACAGCAAGTACAGATACATTCCCATATTGCTGTAATACGCGTTGCTTTTATGAAATGGAGGGGTTGAGGAGTCGCCAAATGATTACATACTTTTGAGAGAGGCGTAGTAACATCAAGTTTGGAAACCACTGTCCTAAGTTAATAAATTAGGAAGTAAGTGTTCTTCCCATGATCAACCAACTATGACTAACTTCTTTTTTTAACCCTCCAATAAAAAATAAATTATATAATACAAGAATGATCCCATTTCAATAAGGTGATTTCAGTTTCGAGTATGTGGAAATTACAACCGTTTCTTTATCTAAGTTTTATGATATTTAGAGACGGAAGAGTGTTGATAGAATAGTCACAACTATACGATTTAATGTTTAAGTGGTCTTGGGAATATTCTACAAAATAATCAAGTATTAGATGGGTAGATGACATATAGGTTGTACTAATTAAAAGGAAAGTTATAAGTCTACCGAATGCACACATTAATTATATAATAACTAATAATAAAATGTTAAGAAATTTTTTTTTTATTGAGAAATAAACATTAATGTTCTGGTATAAAAGAAGCAGTAAGGCTCATAAATAAATCGGTTGGATAGGATCTGGCTTCGCCGATGAAGTAATTAAGATAATCGGGTTGATTTACTGAAGGATGTACATTTTTTTCCCTCGTCATCCGGTCAAGCGGCGATAGAAGAAGCAGTGGTCGGGGCGACGACGTTTTTGGATTTGGATGGTAAATCCACCACTTATCTTATGTGCCTGAGGCGAAGTTTCGCATGGGGGGATGGCATAAATAAAACTTTTTCACCCAACCGATGAAACAAAGACAAGAAAAACTAACAAACAAAAAAAAAGGACTCTTTCTGTCTGTTTGTATGGGTTTTTGTGTGTGCGTTTACAAAGGGATCCAATACTTAACATAAAATGCAAATGATGCAATACCATTTCGCTTCTTTCTCCGTCTGCGTCGTGTTTCTTATTTTTTGCCTTCACTTTCTTGTTTTCTTCCATCGCGTCCTTATTTATTTTGTGAAGTTTTTTATTACGTTTGTATCGAAGGTGGTGGTGGTAGTAAGAGGAAGTAGTGGTCTGAAGGATTTTTTTTTTCTTGTTCTGTTGCAGCTGAGCGAGGAAATTGGATACGTGCTGTACTCGGCCTTGGGCTCGTTCTACATCCCCTCGTGCATAATGGTGTTCGTGTACATAAGGATATACTATGCGGCGAAGGCGCGGGCTCGGAGGGGCATCAGGAAGCCGCCGAGGAGGCAGCCCCAGGAGGCGGTCACCAGCTTCACGACTTCGGCGGCGACGGGGGCGATGACCACCACCAGATCGGACAACGGGAAGGGTGGATCCGGGGATGGGACTGGATCGGGGGGCGGTGGAGGCGGGCCGCCCCTCGACAGGAACAGCAACTCTTCACCGAGAGATGGCGAGAGGCAGATCGCGACCATCGAGTCCCATCCCCGGCCGCCCGTCATACCGACGGTCACGTGCGATCTGGCCTCGGACATCTCGACGAGCGACGCCGGGGACGTCATGCTGCCGGACGTATCAGAGGATAAAGACACCCTCAAGGTAAGACGAGACGAGACAAGACAAGACCCTTTACAAAATTAACTTTGATCCTGCTCTGAGAAGCCGCACGGATCTAACAGTTATTTAGGACATCTCATCCTAAGCAACTTCAATCAAAATTTGAAGCACGAAATACCAATTCCTGAAATGAAAAGTTACTAGGTGGATCAATATTTCATTCATTAGTAAAGGTCTTCTTCAATACAGAAAAATGTTATAAAATACTGCAGCAGAACTATACATGATAGAAGACATTGCAGTCTTTCAGGAAAACTGCTTATTAATACTTTCATTATTTTGCCATATAATTAAAAGTTTCTTCAAATTAGATCAATTCTCTTAAAATTACGTTATAATATCGAATTTCTTTAAGATTTCATTCCAATTTCCTTCAATATAATCACCTTGAAACAAAATTTTAAGCACGAAATACCAATTCCTGAAATGAAAAGTTACTAGGTGGAAATATTTCATCAGTCTTCTTCAAAACTGAAAAATAACCATATGCTTACTGCATCTAAACTATACATGAAATGACATATGCATATCTTTCAGGAAAACTAATTATTATTAGTAATTATTTCCAATAATTTGTCATTTACTTAAAAACTTTGTTCAACAGAAATAAATTAATGTTATAATATCGAAATTCTTTAAGATTTTGTCCTAATTTCCTTCAAACCTAAGCACCTTCAAACTAAATTTGAAGCACGAAATACCAATATTTCATTCATTAGTAAAGGTCTTCTTCAATACAGAAAAATGTGATAAAATACTGCAGCAAAACTATACATAATAGGAGACGTTGAAGTCTTTCAGAACAATTAATACTTTCAATATTTTGTCATATAATTAAAAGTTTCTTCAAATTAGATCAATTCTCTTAAAATTACGTTATATTATCGAATTTCTTTAAGATTTTGTTCCAATTTCCTTCAATCTAATCACCTTGAAACAAAATTTGAAGCACGAAATACCAATTCTTGAAATGAAAAGTTACTAGGTGGATCAATACAAACATCGAAACAAAAAATATTTCATTTATTAGTTAAGGCCTTCTTCAATACAGAAAAATGTGATCTAATACTGCAGCAGAACTATACGTGATAGGAGACATTAAAGTTTTTCAGCAAAACTGCTTATTAATACTTTCAATATTTTGTCATATAATTAAAAGTTTCTTCAAATTAGATCAATTCTCTTAAAATTACGTTATAATATCGAATTTCTTTAAGATTTCGTTCCAATTTCCTGCAAACCTAAGCATCTTCAATCAAAATTTGAAGCACGAAATACCAATTCCTGAAATGAAAAGTTACTAGGTGGATCAATACAAACATCGAAACAAAAAATATTTCATTCATTAGTTAAGGTCTCCTTCAATACATAAAAATGTGATCTAATACTACAGCAAAACTATACATGATAGAAAACATTGAAGTCTTTCAGAACAACTGCTTATTAATACTTTCAATATTTTGTCATATAATTGTTTCTTCAAATTTGATCAATTCTCTTAAAATTTCGTTATAATATCGAATATCTTTAAGATTTTGTTCCAATTTCCTTCAAACCTAAGCACCTTCAATCAAAATTTGAAGCACGAAATACCAATTCCTGAAATGAAAAGTTACTATGTGGATCAATAAATACATACATCGAAACAAAAAATATTTCATTCGTTAGTTAAGGTCTTCTTCAATACAGAAAAATGTGATCTAGTACTACAGCAAAACTATACATGATAGGAGACATTTATGTCTTTCATAACAACTGCTTTCAATATTTTGTCATATAATTAACAGTTTCTTCAAATTAGATCAATTCTCCTAAAATTACGTTATAATATCGAATTTCTTTAAGATTTTGTTCCAATTTCCTTCAAACCTAAGCACCTCGAAACAAAATTTGAAGCACCAATTCCTGAAATGAAAAGTTACTAGGTGGATCAATATTTTATTCATTAGTAAAGGTCTTCTTCAATACAGAAAAATGTTATAAAATACTGCAGCAGAAATATACATGATAGAAGACATTGAAGTCTTTCAGAACAACTGCATATTAATACTTTCAATATTTTGTCATATAATTAAAAGTTTCTTCAAATTAGATCAATTCTCTTAATATTACGTTATAATATCGAATTTCTTTAATATTTAGTTCCAATTTCCTTCAAACCTAAACACCTTGAAACAAAATTAGAAGCACGAAATACCAATTCCTAAAACCAAAAGTTACTAGGTGGAATATTTCATCAGTCTTCTTCAAAACTGAAAAATGTCCATATGCTTACGTGATCTAATACCAATTCCTGAAATGAAAAGTTACTATTTGGATCAATACAAACATCCAAACAAAAAATATTTCATTCATTAGTTAAGGTCTTCTTCAATACAGAAAAATGTGATCTAATACTGCAGCAAAACTATACATGATAGAAGACATTGAAGTCTTTCAGAACAACTGCTTATTAATACTTTCAATATTTTGTCATATAATTAAAAGTTTCTTCAAATTAGATGAATTATTTTAAAATTGCGTTATAATATCGAATTTCTTTAAGATTTCGTTCAAATTTCCTTCAAACCTAAGCATCTTGAAACAAAATTTGAAGCACGAAATACCAATTCCTGAAACCAAAAGTTACTAGGTGGAAATATTTCATCAGTCTTCTATAAAACTGAAAAATATCCATATGCTTACGTGATCTAATACTAGATATAAACTATAAACTAGATATAAAATTACATATAAATATCTTTCAGAAAAACTAATTATTATTAGCAATTACTTCCAATATTTTGTCATTTACATAAAACTTTGTTCAATGAAAATAAATTAATGTTATAATATCAAATTTCTTTAAGATTTCAAACAAAATTTGAAGCACGAAATATCAATTCCTGAAACCAAAAGTTACTATGTGGAATATTTCATCAGTGTTTTTCAAAATTGATAAATATCCATATGCTTACGTGATCTAATACTGCATCTAAACTATACATGAAATGATATATAAATATCTTTCAGAAAAACAAATTATTATTAGTAATGATTTCCAATATTTTGTCATTTACTTAAAAACTTTGTTCAACTGAAATAAATTAATGTTATAATATCGAATTTCTTTAAGATTTTGTCCTAATTTCCTTCAAACCTAAGCACCTTCAAACTAAATTTGAAGCACAAAATATCAATTCCTGAAACCAAAAGTTACTACGTGGAAATATTTCATCAGTCTTCTTCAAAACTGAAAAATATCCATATGATCTAAACTATACATGATTGTGCTTCAAGATCTGAAATCCGTAACTTCCTCGAACTTGAACTCGGAAGTGTATGTACGTTAGGAGTTTAGCAAACCGAAGAAACTAAGTAAAAAAAAGAGAGAATATAAAGAAAAACGTTTTATTTTATTACATGGTTATACATTTGTCCAATTTTAACTAAACTTTTTTTCATACAAATATATTGATTCATTTCATTAATCTAATAAGTATAACTGATTTGAAGCATTTTAGGACAATATTTTAAATACATAAATGGTTTTGCTGTTTCGGAAATTATCGTTTCTTTTATTTAAATATTTTTCTCATTAATTCGAAAACTATAAAACACATTACATATTTTTTAATTACATCAAAAACTATCTGTAATTACGCATATTTTAGTACAAGTACAATTATACAATGTTCATTAATAGCTGAGATATGAATATTCTAAATTTAATTAACTTAAAATTTAATGAATACATTTTGTGGTGATAATACTGAATTATATTAAACACAGTTAAATTCTATATATATATTTAAACTTTGAGGTCTGTATAATATCTGGATGGTAACGAAGACCAAATCTTTAGAGGTTTGGTACGCATTTAATTAGTTCACTTTGCTGGTAGGACCGGCGCGCAATTACACTGATATATTTTAATTGGCTATATGCAAATCCAGTAACAGGTAGCATCCATACATTCGCATTACAACTGAACTTCCAACTGATTATCCCCTTGTTCCATAGTTTCCTCAACAAATTAACACTGCTCGACTTCGGACTTAGCGCGCTCTGCAAGTTATAACTTACGCCTTAATCACATCTAAGCAATACGCTTTTCGCAGTGATTAATTGCTACATCCCCCCGTTTTGTAATCGCTTCATTAATCCACAGAGAAGGATTCATCACCTCAACAAATTAATACAAATGAAAAATAATTAAAATGTGAACAAAATTATACCGAAAAGTCAACGAACTTTTTCCTTTTCCTTTTTATTACATAACTTTTTGTTGCAATCTGAACTCGTTTATGAAAAAAAACTGTAAGAAATTTAATCCTGAAAGTGCAAACGTTTCGAGTCCAAACAATATTGTTCTTGCAGCGCAGCAAAATTGAAGTTGCACACAGAAGGAGAGGGAAGAAAAGAGTAAACAAGACTCATACAGATTGGGAGGGAAAGAGAGAGAAAAAGTAAAGCAGTGCCGTTAAGCTGAAGTGGTTCTTGGCACGAATCACAATTATTTAAAATACCTGGGTTCCACCTACTTGCATGAAACCACTTGTGCCCCATTGCATAAATTAGCTCCTGCATCCTCCTCATTTCGAGCCCCAACATACGAATCTCTTATTTCTACTGTTCTCATTATTTCTATTTCTTTCTTTCTCACTGGATGTGTGTGTATGTGTATATTGTTGTAATCCCGAGTGGATGCCGTATATTTCCTCGAATTTCACGTTCGCTGCTTTTTATGGAAATTGTCCTCAAGCTTCATTGAATAACACACAGACACAGACAAAAAAAATCTTACATGCTCGCATTCATATAGATATAACTATGGATCCGTTGAAAACCAATTCCGTAACATCTGTTTCGCAGAAGGTAGAATGATTTCGGCATAGCCTAAAGATAGAAGAGAAGACGAATTGGTTGGGGACGGGGGAGGACAAAATATCGCTTAGTTTGTAATCTCGTTTCTGCAGATCGGCGGTTTACTTTTTGTACCC